GGCTCCGGGAACTGGGCTCCGTCGGATTTCCGGGAGAGGGGAGGCTTTTCTACTCAAAAGTCCGCAGGACGCGTTTGATGCTCTTTGGTTTTCCAGTGGGAAACCACGACTTAGAAAACACAGCCACGCAAATAAATGAGATTAGACCTGCCAGCTTCGCTTCCTGGAGGCTTTTTGTTGTGTCTTGAAACTAGGAAGGAGCCTTTGCGCGTCATCCTTGTAAGTGCTCTTGTGATCCGTTCGTGTCGGTGCTTGTGCGTCTGTACTGCGTTTAGCACGGGGAGACTGGTGACATTGCGGTACTTTGATGTGGTGGTGATTTGTGCGTTGGTCGGTGACCATGGCCTCACGGGATGACATGGAATAAATGCGTACACGTTGCAACGTAAAGGCACAGAGGGACAAGTATCTTTCCAACTCTGCGTAAATGAGATATGAAAATATCCCCTAAAGCCATGCCAATACGGGAAGACTGGAGTGGTATTTAGACTATGGGACTATTAAAAACAAGGAACACTCATTAGTTAATCCACAGTCACTCTACGTAAGGTAGCATGATAGAATCATTAAATAATAGCACTGATGAAAACTTAGTTCTAAATTTACTGTTTTAGAACGCATGTCATGTGTAGTATATCACACATCATCCGGTCTGTGTGTGTGTCAGAGAGAGGGAGAGACATGGATAATTTCTGCTCTGAAATAGAGCAGCTTTAACGCTTCAGTACAGAGATGATCCACCTAGAAAATCTCCAAATAGAGCAGCTGCAGCACAAGGTGCTTACTAAAACTGAAGGCTCTTCCCCAGAGAGTTTACTTACTCCGTTTTCCTTTAAAATAAGCTGAAAGGCCAGGGAACCATACATTTAAAATTGGCCGGTGTTAATTGAAAATCACTCCAAAACCAGAAGTTAATAGAAAGACATAATTCAATTTACAAAAATTTGGCCTTCAGGGCACATCTGATACACCCATATAAAATCGAAAGATGGTGTGAGGCATTCTTTATTAAATTAAACCAGCAGTAGTGATAGGGTTATCTCCTCTTGTAAGCAGGATGCACCCAGCCTCTGATGGAAACCAGTTTCACTAAACCGTACACCAGTTACTCTACATAGTTTAATGCCTAGGAGTTGGATATTCCCAACCAGAGGTTGCATGTTGGAGCTCCATGGGCATGAACCTGTCTTGCGCACTGTTTGGCTTGCAGGTATATTTTAAACTTTTGAATTAGTTATGGATATTTCAAAATCAGGATGTAGCACATGGAAAGCTGGACTTTTGGCTTCTCTTTGAAATGGGAGACCTGGCCACCCTGAGCGTGACTGGCTAGAGCAGAGAAGCACCTCCGCTGCTGACCTCTAACAGGTACTTGTCGCCCCGTGCATGAAAGTGTTCTAGTCCTGGGCCAGACATACTACTCTGCCCAGTGCTTGGGCTTTCTTCATTGGGATTATTAAAGTCATAGATGACTTAGAGCAGGGTCTACACCTAATACACATGTGATGTATTAAAAGCTCAAATCTTGATTTCCAGACATTCATTTAGGCAGATTCAACTGAACAGAAACTGACTCTGTGCATTTCCTGAAGACAGGCACTACACAATGTCCTGGTCCCTTCTATTCTGCATTTCCCTAAAATGCAGTGAGACCTAGGAGAGTGTGTGGTTTCAGGAATTAAACTCGGAAATCTGGATCCCCACTAGCTACTTTATTGTGCAATGTTAGGCACGTTATTTACTGTCCCTGAGTTTGTTTCCTCAAACACAGATAGTTGTCAGACTACCTCCTTGGATTATTGAGTATTAAATTATTATATGTGAAAGCATCGTCAACAATACCTGGCCCACAGTAACCACCCAAAACAGTCGTTTTCCTTGCCCTTGGGATTTCAGTCACTAATGTGAATACTTGAGAATTCTCATGGATCTTTTTCTACTTGTCTACAAGATCCTACTTCAGCAGAGATCAGACTTTGGTGTGCAGGAAACTTAACTTGGATACTCTCTTTAAATGCCTTATTCTGGGTTCCTCACTCAGGATTTTGATTCAGGAAGTCCCAAATGGGCCTCACAGGGTCCACTTTTTAACATTTAATTCTGGGGCAGGAGTTCTCAGACTACACTCTAACAGTGCCAGTCCTGGCCACAGTCATTCAAGTGCATGAGGTGGAGAATAAGGAAGGATGCCTGGGTGGATTCTTGGGTGGATTCTTTGGCGGATCCTGGCCAGCGTGCTTATCCTGCTGCTCGATCAATCGGATACGCTGCTTGGATCCCAATTGCTTCGTCATCAGTTCACAGACATTTACTGAGTGCCTGCTAGAAATGCACTGAGGTAGGCACTCAGCATTCAGAGGTAGGTGAAGTGGTCCTGTCCTCAGGGAGCTCAGAAAATTGAATACAAAACCCAGGGCCTGGCATTCAGGTTCCAGTCTTTGCCCTTCTACCATCCATCATTTAAAACCATCTCTAATGCTGTTTTCTTCCTGATGCTCCTTTATTCCATCACAACCCCTCCTCCCCCCACCCAGCATTCTCATGTCACATTACAGAGTCTCGTATAGTACTTATTTCTGTATTATGTGTCATAGTGTGGTTTGGGTGCTCATTAGATATTTGTGGAATTTAATTTCCCTGGACAAATTTGATTTCTGAAACTTAGCTTATATTCATTCACTCATTCAAATATTAATGGAGCACTTTCTATGAGGCAGGCACTGTTCTAGAAGCTGGGGATACAGCAGTAGATAACATTAAAATCCCTGCCCACATGGAACTGGTTGGGGAAGACAGGTCATATTAACAAACTATTTGGAGTATTCAGTTGTTATCTGTACCCTGACATCTGCTGCAATCGTTTGCTGTCTGACTCCTGCCAGGTGGACTTTTTTCCTAACCCTGGTCTAACCCTTACTCTGGTGATGATTTTATCTGTAGCTGGAGAGCTCTTTGTTTATCCTATTGTGTTCTGAATCAGTGTCTGCATCTCTTCCAAGCTTAAACCAAGATCAACCACTCATTCCCAAAGTCAAAAGCTTCTACAAAAAGCTAACTTTCAAAAATGCAACTTGTATATTCTCTTCTTACGGAATATTGTGGAAAAGCCTTGTTGATGCTCCGTGACTCTGTTCTGATACTTTTCTTAAGTATCTTGGCTATTAATGTCAAATATAAAAATAACTGACTACTTTGCATTCATATTCCGTAAGTTATTTTGAGTAGTCCCATTGATAATTTATCAGTAAAAGATAATCTTACCTTAAATATGTGATTTTTT